TTGCCTATCAAAAGAAATGAGAAAAAAAAAAGTGGTGAAGAGAGAATGTACAGTACAACTAGAGCTAACTGTCAATGGGTAAAGTTCCAAACCAATAGAACTCAATTCCAACCCAAACCATATAAGATATGCAAATAACAGACAAGGATAGATATATCACTCGAGTCATGTTAGTGGAGAAGTTTTATTCAAGATATTGTAAATTTTTATCCTCTTGTCTAGACTTTGTCTCCTCCTGATTTCTTATTTTCTTACTGCATGTACAGGTACTACAATTGGATAGATGCAATGAGATGATTCAGCCCAGGGCTTTTAAAAAAAGTACTTCTGAGAAAGGATTTCTATAAAAACTTATTTCATTTATTATTCCATACCTATTATATCCAAAATTTGTAGATTTAGTAATAATTAAGATGTTGAGGTTATTTGTAGAGCAATAAGGGAAATTGGTTATGGGCTTTTCTAGATGGACAAAATACATTTTCTTGGGTCGAACATGTCAATAGCCTAGATGGACAAAATACATTTTCTTGTGTCGAACATGTCAATAGCCTAGATGGACAAAATACATTTTCTTGTGTCGAATATGTCAACCATACATTGAGAATTTATGAATATATTGCTGCTTAAATTTGTAGCTCGGTTAGGACTTAGGAGTAAAAACATTTTCTTGCGTCATAGTTGTGGGATCAGAATTTTCTTTGCACTGAAACCCTTGATCTAACTCTTCATTAGCTGAAGAGAATATAAGTTTAAGGGTTTTCATTTTGAGGGGTGAGAGGTAAATATTGGGTCCATGGTGAATGCCATATTTAATGATCATGACTACTTCTGTTTATGTCTCTAACGTGTTTACCTTTGAATCCATGATTGCTTCAGTTACATTGACAATGTATGTGTTAATGAACATACACTAACAATGTATGGGTCCATGGTGAATGCCACATATGTCAATGTATGTGTTTATGAGCATACATTGACATATGTGTTAATGAATTCATTAAAAAATGTATGGGTTAATGAAAGATTTTGGTCAACACTTCGCACTTGTCATTAAACTTCTCATGGCTTTTCAATGACGCACTAAGTTGATGGAAAAGAAACTATTGGCTTGTACACATTATAAGATTTCACTAGGAAGGATATGTCCTATTATTTTTATTCTTGCTTTTTTTTCAGTTTGTAAATTATTTATGTAATTAGGTATAACCTATAGTTGTTGAGTGATTTATGTAATTAGGTATAACTTTTATGTCCTAATCTACTCCTTATCCAAGCATGTTGATTGCTTTATATTAAGGATTAGAATGATCAAGTGGTAACTAACCGATTTGAAATGTTGGAATGCCATCATCCCCATTCATGATCACAATCTTTCATCAACAAATATTCGCTTAACCTCTATAGGACCCTTGCTCTTTCACTCTATGTCGTGTCCGTCCCCTATCACCATGATTGACACTATCGATGATTCCTCACCAAATGAGACAAGCCAGATAGTAAATAATGCAAACAATCCCATTGCAACTGCTCCTTTTAACACAGATGGTACTCAAACTAGATCTCAGAATCCTATTGAAGTTGAGGAAGATGGTCCAATATTAAAGTCAAAAAGGCAGAAAACTTCAGGTGTATGGTTGGAGTTCGAAGAGGTAAAAATTGTTGATGGAACAAAGAAGGTGCAGTGTGTCCATTGCAAGAGTAAATTATCTATACAATCTACTAGAGCTACAAGTCATATGGGCTGGCATTTGAAATCATGCATACCGAGAAAAATGGCTCTAAAAGCTAATAAATGGAAGTCAAAAGTTGGATCCTTTACTTTGAGCGGGAGGTACCTTTTTATAGCTGAAGATCCGTGTCTTGGTCGGATGAGGCTTCTGGGGTTGTTGGGATGAGGTTACCCGTCGAGGTCTTCGGGATAAGACCTAATCCCCAGCGGTGTTGTCCTCATCCATACGATGATCTCCTATCTTGGCCACGCTTATCTTCATGACGTGATGCCGACGTGGCCGAGGTGATGAGGCGGCCGTGGAGGTGACATGTGGAACCCGGGGCGCGGCCAACTCAACCATATTCCAAACAATTTTGGTAAATTGGAAGTCATTAAATTATTGGTATTATTTTCAAAAATGATTCCAATTTCAGTAATTTTGAAAAAATTAATTTCAATACTGAAATTGATAGTGATACTTAATGAAGATTTAAATTGTAGAAAGTTAATAATTTTATTGATAATATTACTGAATATTAAAAATTCCAATTAAGGAAATTAAATATCATAATATAGTACTATAGATTATTTTCAAATATAATCACTGAAATTAAAATTTCAAAATTAATTTTCGTAATTTATCTTGGTTTTTGGTAAATTGGAAAGTCATTAAATTATTGATATTATTTTATAAAACGACTCCAATTTCAGTAAATTTGAAAAATTAATTTCAATATTGAAATTGATACTTAATGAAGATTTAAATCGTAGAAAGTTAATACTATTATTGATAACATTACTGAAATTAAATACCATAATATGGTATATATTATTTTCAAAGACAATTACTGAAATTAAATATTCAAAATAATTTTTGAAAATTAATTTTGGTAATTTACTCTGTTTTTTGGTAAATTGGAAAGTCATTTAATCATTGGTATTATTTTAAAACATGATTCCAATTTCAGTAATTTTGAAAAATTAATTTCAATATTGAAATTGATACTTAATGAAGATTTAAATTGTAG